CCCTATGTTCCACTAGGAACGCAAGGAACTAAGAAGTAGTATTAGTGTAGATATGTTAATCGCCAGTTTGCCTTAATACAGCAATTTAGGAGTAATTATGAAGCTTTAGGCTTATTTTATAACACAAGGTATGTTTAATCAGCATTTTATTAAGCATGTTTTTTATTCGTTGTATACATAACAAGGAAAATTAATATAAGTCCCAATCGCTATTAATAACATTTCAACATACTAGTCAGGTGAAAATGGGCTAATATTTTAAAGGAATCAATGATTAATCATGTCATCATTCAATTGACAAATGTACTAACACACAAACACGTTACTACTTAAAAATGAAACCACAAAAGTCACTGATTAAATAATTTTATTAAATAAATGAATAGAATTAATAAAGAGAAAAAATGCTCATACAATGATTTTCATGTTTGTTTAATACGGTGGATATATCAAAGCAATATTTAGTTGCAGTTAAACATCTTAGTTATTTAATAGCAAAATAAGATATAACTGGTTGAATACGAATCAGGTATATAATTTTCTTCTATTTTAATATTTAAGTGGGTTTATCATCATTAGACCAGACAATTGTTTACTGTATGATTTTCATTGTTAGAAGTGTATTTTCCTTCTATTTTGTGTGGCAAAGTGATAATTGATTCTGCTGAAATCCAAAGTATGGGCTAACTGGTTTTCTATTGCAAGGTTCCCCAGATCTGTCAGTTGGTATAATTTTTATTAGTTTCAGCTTGCTAAATAATCTCTTCCCTTCTGCAACTGTGACTAGAATTATGCAGAAAATTCGAAGGGCTACAGCAACAGATGGGAAAAGCGGATGTAGTTTGAATTTGTGCAGTTTGTTTAGAAGCTCTAAAAAATTTAATGCAGTGTCACCAAAATTAACTTTGTGAATGGCCTTTAGATGTTTCATTTCTTCCATTAAATCTTCTGACACATCAGATCTGTACTTGACAAGAAACTCCCTAGTTCTTGAATGTAGATCATTCTCTGATATATCTAGATATTTCCACAAAAAAGGAAAAGTCTGATTAATATCCATGGCCGCTCTACGTCTTCCAGTGAGCCCAGTAATAACAGAATTTATGAGCTTATAAAATATGTATCGTCTGAAGTCTGTCTCCTCTACAGGTTCATTTTCTTCACAATTAGGTAAGGGGTCATCTATATTTTCATCATGAAAATACTTGGAACCTGTTTTCCGTTTTGGAGGCAGATGTGGCAGAATATTCATGTTACTTGCAACCAATTTAGCTTCATTAAGAATTGAGCTCCAATGTTCACACAGTGTTTTTAAATCAGTCAAAAGACTTTTAATGCTGAGAATTTAGCTAGGGGATTAATTTTAATAATAGAGCTTGAGCACCATTAGACCTACCAGCCATGTTGAGCTATTATCACATTCTTGGGCTCTGCAATCAAGTATCAAATTAAAAATATCAGCCTCAGTCTTCTTATTGTAATCAATAAATCTTAGAAACCTTTCTTGAATATCAAAGGATGAATATTTTGATGGCATGGATATATATACCCCAGAATAAAAATTGTATGTTCTTGATGAGATGAATCAGGTGTTGCATCTACTATGATAACAAACTATTTTGCTGCAAGTCTTTTCCCTAAAGTCTAAAATAATGTGACGTACATGCTAAGCACAGGTTGCTATGAATTCATTCTGGGACTCACCTGACAAGTAGTAGGCTTGAAGAAGGTAACCTACTCGCTGATATTCTTCAACTCTCTCTTTACATGCTCCCATAGAACTGGATCATTAATGACTGAGCAACTTAATTATTCCTAACAAGTTACCATTATCAGGTGCACCAATCCTTTGTGATGATTCATGAAAGGCTAAACCTCTCTATACCCCAAGTAAAGTATAACATGTATAATCCTCTTTAGGATAGCCTTTCATTTGGCTGCTCTTGAAATAATCTTCTTCTCAAGCTGGAAAATCAACACAAGAGTTTGCTCCACAACGTCTCTCAAGCCCACATCACTCAGTATAGCATTTCTTATCAAGAACACTTCTCTCATGCTCTGGAAGTCTATCATAAAGTTTCTTCCAGCCTGTTGTTAGCAGTCAGCTTTTCGCAGTTATAATTGTAGAGCGTGATGCAACTGAAGTCTTGGCGAGAAGTACACATGGAAAACAGTACAATCTTGCTTAATATTCCTCCAAACTAACCAGTTACTGTATTCACTATTTTGCAGCGAAGATTTTAGAAAAGAATTTAGAAAAGGAAAATATTTAGATGTTGTAGAGGCCCAGCTCTAACACTCTCATCAGTTAATATCTTTGGTGGATCCAGCACATTTAGCATATTGTGTGGCTTTGCACATAACAAAAACAAACAGCTACAGCTAGTGTTAGGGTAGAGATAATAACAGATAAAATATAAACTTTTACCTTAAAAACATTTGTTGTTCATTGATGACCTTATAGAATTATGCCAATGAAATATGAAAAGTATAAGATGAAAAGATGTATTTTTATTTTTAGCATAAAAATCACTTTGCACTCAGATTGACTCAGTAAAGGCTTTGGAAATCCACAGAAAAATATAATTACATTATTAAAAAACCTTATTTTGTATGTACAAGAGACTTAATTTTTACCAAAAGCTTTCCAAATTTCGGGAAGATACGTTTAATTTAATTAGTACATTCAAAGTTATAGTACATGTAGTTTCATGGTTACATGGGGGATTCAAGCTCGGTCAAGTTACACCAGCCAGAACCTTAAGATTTAGGGCACCCACCTCTTTGGAAAGGCTCGTGGAGCTTACACTAAAGAAGTTGCAATGGGAGTGATGCCTGGTCTACAGCAATATTGTTTTGGTGTTTGGTCATATTACTGATTGTTTGTGGCCAATTTCTTCTTGATAGCAACACTATTGTCTGCACTCACTAAAACTTTGACAAACTTTGGATAGAGTGAGGAATGTGAGCAATCATGCTGATACCTAAAGCTTCCTTTAGTGGAAGCTCTGGTGTTGGCATATTCATAGCAAGACAAAAAATTCCTATTGGACCTTAATGCTACTAATAATGGAATTATAGCAGTAGAACATGTAACCACAAATGTTAGTTGTATACTCATAGATTCCGAATGCAGATACTGTACAATGAAGAATGAACTGCTTGCAGTGGTAGTTTTTTTTGTTTTTTGTAAAACACTTTTTCTATTACTTTAGGTTGACCATGCTTTGCTGAAATGCTTAACTAGCCTCAAAAATCTGGAATGGATGATAGCATATAATATAACGACATTGCAAAAACATAACTTTGTCATAGTGTATCACCCAGGCCCACAACACGGAAATGCAGATTAATTTCCTTGCTGTATGGTGAGACCCTGTCCATTCATACAACGTCTCTATGCACTGTGTGAGAAATTAAATCATTCTTACCATAGTAATGTCAAATCATGCATACAGTAGAAGGCTCTAATAGTGGATGAAAGCCACAATTAACGCCCCAGAGAGCTCAGGGATGAGCAACAGAAGGACTCAGCTTTAGAATAGGTGCTCCTTCCTGTGCAGTAAAATAAAGTTCAGCCAGCAGAATCAGAGGACACACGTAATCTGTGGCGCTTATATGATCAGTTATGAGTGCAAGAAGGTGTGCTGTACCATTGTTATCAATGAACGAACCATGAATCTCAGATTATGCTGCAGCTAGTGGTCCTCAGAGTGCAAAGGCAAGAGATTCTCCAGACCTTGCATAACACAAAAACTGGAGGGTGCCAAGGCGTTACTCTCATTTGTGCTAACATTTGATAGTGGTTCTATCACATTCGAGTCGAGATGTTCAGCACTGATGTGAATACTGTACAGTGTGTGTCGCCCAAGAGTAAAAAAAAAACAACAACAACAAAAAAACAACTAGTTGATGAAGGGTAAACTCCAGCAAAGACTTATTAAATCTCTTCCGCACAAGATAGGCCTGGATAGCACTGGTCCACTATCAAAGACAAAGAGAATTCATGACTATCGACTACTTAACAAAAGTGCCACGGCCTATTCCTTCGTTGATACATTGACACACTTCGTACTTAATGTGTTGGGGTGGAATATAAGATAGCCGAGGTTGGAGCATCAGAAGAGATCCACACGGATAAGAGGACTAGGTTTAGCAGCTACTTGCTCTTTTTGTCGTGTAAAATGACAGTTGTGGTAAATATTATTATATCAACTCCTCCCCACAGTGTGATGGTTTAATAAATTAGTAATATAAACTTAAACTACCAAGCGTATTACAGCTGAACTGACTGTGATAAGCATTTATCACACATTATGATGGTATACAGAGCAACTGAACAAAGGTCTACAAGTTGTGTGGTAAACACGCCTATGTTGACGTGATTTATGATCCTCCCTCGAAAACGGATGTCCCACAATGTCCACAAGAATATGTGGAGTGATCAAGGTTTGCATTAGTCGCGTCAAATGACACATAAAAAATAAATAGAATATGAAGAATATCAGTTTTCAGACTTACTGTATGTTTAGTATTTTATCAGTAATCTCGGGGCCATTATATTAAAATGTGCCCCTCACCAGTAGAACAGCAGCATTTCTGCGGACTTATATTGCTAGAAACCAGGTTTCGATACCCGTGGTGGGCAGAGCACAAATAGCCCTTTGTGTAGCCTTGTACTTAATAACAAACAACAACAACAACCATTATATTAACGAGAATACTTCAATATTCTAATATAGCAGTAGGTAAAAGTACTTTCTTTTTTAGGCTTTATTCGTGTTTAAGAAACGTCAGAATTTATTGAGTATACTTGTTTATCTGTTTACGATGGAAATAGTATTTTTAATTTTTTCAACAGATGGCCTGAAATTTGATTACAAACCAACGAGAATATATGTTACATCGCATACATGTTTTAAAACACCAATCAGGAAATTTAATAGTTCGTATGAAGTAGAACAGAGTTTGCGCATTTACACCTTCCCGCCACTACTTTTTGTTAGGCTTAAATTAACTGTGAGTGGTGAAACCAATAGTGATAGGTTGTGTGAGAACTGTCCGAAGTTAAGAGTTTAACTAATGTAACTTAACTTAAACATCAAAAATGTCTTTAACGGTAGATAAAGATGCTTTTTATCGAAGAATGAGGAGGATATATTCTGCTTGGCGGGTAAGCATGTTAACTGTTCTCATTGAAAGATAATAAATTAGTGTTGCAACTACAAGTAGGAGAAAATAAGTCATGGCAATTACCTTAAAGTACGAGTTGCATCAGTGTTATGGATGTGTGGTTTATTACTGTTAGGCTTAACGTTAGTAATGATAATTCCACCTTTAATTATCGTACCCAGTGTCTGTTAACAGTACTAGTGTTATGAGTTATGTTTATACTTGTCATCTACATTTACTAAAGAAATACTTTGCGTGTGAAGTGTGGAGCAGTGAAGCACGTAAACGGTAGGAGTCAAAGACTTTTGACGAGTTATCTATTTAGTTGAAGTTGTGTTTGACTTTGAGACGGGAGGAGGGTTAAAACTTAAATGCATAATTTCGCTTTATTGGTATCACTGTTCAGAGCCAGGACTTAGTAAACATTCAGCGAAATTATAGACAAGTAGCTTTAAAACAATCTGTCTTACTGAATAACAACAAAATATATAATATATTTATGGATACCAATTACCATTATGTTTTTAGCCTTTTAAATACTGTAGTAGACTTGAGACCAACTGTTATACTTATAGTACTAAGTATTGGCTAGGATATTTTTTATCTGGTGGTGTAGGAAGGAGATCTTTTGCTCTGTGGATGGAACAGGACAAATATGCCACACCAATAATGTAGTCTGTCAAAGCATGTGTAGTATATGTGGAGATACATAAGTAGGATGTACTAGAATACCTTTGCACATGTGCATTTCAGAACACATTAGTGCATTGTGCGTTATACATGTCTCATCAACACAAAACTGTCTCAGGAGAACACTTCCTATATGAACACGGAACCCCAGATATAGAAAATCAAAACCCACTTATAATTTCTGTATTACAAAAAAACAAAGATTTTGAAGAGAGAAAATGTGTGAAAACCTTGCTAATTAATGAAAAAAATCAGAAAATGAACAGAGACAATGGATGGCACATGTAACTAAGCTGCCATTAACAAGTTATTACTTTTAGTTTAATCCTTGCATACTCCGGAGTATCACAAAATCTTAAAATTTTCTAAACACTGCTGGTAAGCTTTGTATCCTTTTCATCCTTAAATTTTGTTTCTTAGTAGTCTCTATTTTCCATCTTATTTGTTTTGTGGCTAACCATAAAACATTTTGTGGTTCTCTTTATTTTTATATTTGAATGTGATGTGTTGGTATAGCCGTATAGTAACTATGCTATAATATTAGAGCAATAATGAAACTGTAATAATATTCTATACATTGTTTAAGCATATAATGGCAGACTCGAGAAATCAAACATTCCAAATAGTTTTATAATTTAGCAAATGTTGTAATATCAAACAGTTTTATGTGCTAGCCCCGAAGAAACCATAAAGGCAAAATGTTGGTTAAATATAAGTTCTCTTATAATTATCTGGAGTGTAAAGGTTGTTTTTTTTTTCTACCTTTATTATCAAGATGTGCAAGTCTCTCCAGTATGCACTACAAATTCCAGAAGTACTATTAAGTCTTAGAAGTATGCTGTTTTATTAGTAAACAAATGCTTGGGTACTGAATAAAAAATTAGATACCACAATGTGATGAAGAACATAATGATTTTTTCCTTCTCAAAATTGCAGTGTTATTAAGGGTTATAATGACTTGTACATAGGTTAGTTACAGGAGTTTCATTAAGTAAAAAAAAGGAAAAGTTTCAAGCCTTTTACAATTTGCCTCAAAATCTCTTGAAGACAAAGACTTTCAAAATGTTGTAGTGTACACTTGCATTTTTACAACAGGCAGTTGCTGTCCATTCCACTTTACTTACATTTTGGAGACAATTGTAACGTGGTGGAGAAAGACTAGTTTTATCCTTAATATGAATAAAGATTTACTTGGCAATTCTATAACTTGTTTTCACATTACATTTGGCCTTTTTGTCCTGTAGTTTGTAAGATTTAATAATAGTTCAGCATCATACAAATATGGATTTTTTTTACATTGTCACCTAACAACAAATGGGGTTTGTTTGTTCCATTTTAGCAGAGGCCAAAGGTTTTCATCTTAGTTGACCCTTTTCTTGATAGTTTTTTAGTAATATGCAGTTCAAGACTTATTTTGTATAAATAAGGATCTCAGTTGTGACTGCAAACAAAATTAGTAGGAAAAATACAGGTTGATTATATTGTCCTCCATTGTTCAGTTGGAAAAGATGATGTTGAAATGTAACTAGAATGAACAGGTGTTATCCAGCTATATTTCAATATTTGTTGGATGTCCTTTCATAAATTACCCAAAAATGAAGGGACAACTGGAATTTTTTTTTGTTAAGAAATATTAAGAAAACAGACTGGCATGACTGCATAGATATTTATGGGAAAGACTTCCCATTGAAACAAAATGACCCTCTTGTAAATACCTCTGTACTTTTGAAAACGTCTCAGTAAGCATTTTGGATACTTTTTATAAAAATGTAATAAATGTTATGTCTTCTTAATGAAACCCTTGTTAAGTTATTTGCATTATTTGTAAATATATTAATTGTAGAAACTTGTCTTGCTCATCATTTGCTGAAACAAAGTTTGGCTTCGTTTATTTTCAGGTCACTAAGTTTGATGCAAGTAGTTATCTTTCATGAAAATGTTTTGCTTTTTCAGAATAAAGAGTGTTTTCTCTTGGACTGCCAACCACTAGAGCCTTTAATTTTATGTAAATGAAAAATATCCCAAAATAAAGCAAAGTATTGGAAAGAATGAAATCATTGGCTTGTATTCCTGTATGCTTACCTTCAGACTTGTTTTTCTTTTTGCTGAAACTTAAGCCTACTTTTTTTATACTAATGGTGCTTAGGACACTAAATAATTTTTTACTTAAATAATGCACTTAAAAACATGGAATAATAATACGCACAAAGCAAACAATGTCCTATAATTATCATAATTTAATGGGCTTTCTAACTATAACATGATGAGCCTTAAAATAATTCCTAAGGCTTCTCGATCTGAACATTGTGAGAGAAACATTCAAACTGAAGATGAAGTAGAAAATACCCTTTACTGAAAACAGTGTGATATAACACATCATTTGATATTAAAACTTTGCCTTTCTATTGGTTATAAATATTATAGTATAAAAAATCAGAGAGAAATATTGGCAATTTGTGGAAGGATGTGACAGGTGGGCATGGCAAGTGGGTCTGATTTATTAGTTTATGACTCCGTAAAAAATTAGATTGAAGGCTATAAAAATTAGATTTTGTCTTAGTAATATCTATATTACGAGCAATTTACATTAAATTCTGTATTTCTGAGGGAGGTAGTAAATAAATTAGAGAAGACCTAGAGCAGTAGTTCCCAGACTTTTGGTAATAAAAAATTTTGAAGAAAAGGACTTAGGTGACTTTTAGTCATCAAATATTGTAAAAAATGTAAATAAGTGTCCATGCTTTCAACAGCCAAGACGTGTCTTGGACTGGTAGAAATTAATTCAAGGACTGGGAAGCACTGACCTAGAAAACAAATGTCACAATTCTCATACTAGGGGAGATTGAGAATGTTTAAATATTTCTTTATAAACTTAAAACTTGTATTAAAATTTGATTTATTAACTACATTTTGATGCCAAGTTTATTTGTATACATTGATAATAAAGTCATTTAACTAAATTTTAAATGTAACTAAAAGGTTGTGACATGCACACTTTGACCTACCTGTAGCAAGGGGCTAAACTGGTTGCTTAGGGGCAATGACCAGACAAATTAGTCATAGCTGAATCATATACAAACTTGCTTTCTTCTGTGTGGTACATCTTAAGAGTTATTATTCAGTCCTACTAATCTTAAGACACCCCATTCCACTGCAGGCTGGATGATAATCAATAATAGGTCATTAGACTGAAAGAATTCTGAAAGATGTGATGCTGGCTCTAGGATATCTCTTAGGCTCTAGTGTTTTCTTGAAAGTTACAACAGTGACTTCAATGAGGACCTTCCCTGCCTTAGCTACTGAACTGTCAGTACCACTGCTAACTTGACTTAAATGCAGAACCATTATCTGCAGGTTTTGCTGCATGACATTTAAAGCTCTTGCTTGGCTTGAGACCCATCACACTTGATTCACATCACTGAAGTGCACAAAATTTTCATCTATAGCCTTTGCAGTTTCTTTTGCATATTCTCTTTTGTTTGGGGAAGGCTATATGAGTACAATTTATAAATCAATTTCAAAGTTTCTTGAAACTAAGCTGTGTAGGGTATAGATTTCACTACATTTAGAATTTTCAGCTGAAGGTTGTGAGCTTCATAGTGGAATGGGAGCAGAAATAGGATATCTTTGTTTGAGTAGTGCTGCAACACTACTATTGGAACCCATTGTAATAGTTGAACCATCAGAATTACTGATATTAATATTAGATCTGGTTTTTCAGGAGACTTGTATCTATGAAATCCAAAGACAGCTTCTTAATTCCATTAACAATACCATCTAGAACACCTAATGCACATGTATGTTCTAGTGGAACAAGATCTACTAACATTACAGGGCTTTATGCCATTGACAACCCTTACTAGTATAGTTTCCTATTCAGTGATGGAATTATCTGTACTCCCGTCGGCTAAAAATCTACTACCTATATCCTTGAGATGTGTCTAAGAATTTTTGCCTCACACCTTATGAATTCAGAGGCTTTCTGTCAATATTTAAACTAATTTTTTTGCCACTTGTCAAAATAAAAGGCTTTTACTTATATTTCTTAATAGTATAAATATATATTGTGTTGTTGTTGGGCTTAGGATTATTCTACAGTAGGTTTCTGTGACTTGTTGGCAATAAATTCAACGATAAATGAGAAGCACACACTTCACTTGTCAAAGTAATATATATATATTTGGAACAACATACTTACAACAAGTTCTTAACACTATAGAGACTATAGGCATATCATGAACACTATATATGTAATTTTCTCCATCTTGTCAAAAGTCCACTTAGGCCTATTCAATTACTTTAGAATTTCAG